GGAATGTACAGGAGTCTGAGGAGGTGCATGAAGTTGGAGGTAGCTTTTGTTTCGAGCTGTTTGAGGAGGCACAGTCCTGAGACCATTCTCTCTCTTGCCGTTGGCAAATCTCCCACAAAGAGTTGTGGTACGCTGGATGCAATCATTCCTCAAAATCTGCTCCTTTAGCATAGACGTCGAGCTGGGTCAGCCAATACAGTTTTATTGTCTATACCATGCCTAGCATGCTTGCCTACATAGCTTCAAGCGTGCCATCGCCTGGATTTCCCCACCTACACTGAATGCATATGAATTACAGGTTGGTTCCTGCACTACAGGTGGACCTGTGGCAGCCCAGCAGCCCCTTCTACATCACCGAAGGTACGGTCACCGACGTGCGAGTACCACAGAACACGTCCCGAAGTCTGCTGCTCTACCTCCAACAAGCAAACATCCAGTACACGTAAGCCTGTGCTTCACTTTCTGTGCCTCGCTGCAGAGATCTGGCCTCCAAGGCAGGTCTGCATCTACCAAGCCAAGTGCACTTGTAAATACGTTCCACATCATAGCAATTAGACTGGCAGACAGCTAGACATTGCCAGGAAAACAACCATTTTAATGGGAGAACAGAAAATCTCCCACAGGCAGGCAGTTTTAATTAAATGTCCTCCTTTGGAGTCAAGCTGAAGTGTTTTCAATGTATATGAAATCACATCTGTTAAGAGAGGGATGGTAATTACTAATTCTACAGCCTGCTTTGCCTCTCTCTGTATTTAACAGGAGCTAGGTTTGTTTACAAGTGTGCTGCAAATGCGGAGGCAAGCCTTCTTCATGAATTATAAAGGAATGTACTAGTTCTGTTTTATAACTCTCCATTCCTCATGACCCAGAGCAAGTCATACAGAACAAACACATGCTAAGAATCACATATCATTTATAGCGTTTCTTAAAAGCATCTGAGACAGTTTTGGACTATACTTATCGTTTCATATTTATAAAAATGATATACTAGACAAGACGAACGATCTTGTCATTAAAGCCTTTTCAGTGAGATACTGAAGCATCTGAATAATCAACTGATGAGTTATTTGAATTCTCAAACAGTTGTTGAATAAAGCTCTATGTGAGGCTATTTATACTTATTTCTCACTGAGAAAAGGGTGGTGCAAAGCATATTGTACATTATATGTACAGTTACCAGAATTCCATTTTTATTATAACAATGGTCTCTTACTAATTGTCATTCTAAAAATACAAAAACAGACATTAGGAAATTAAACATGCAGGTCTGGTAGCTGAAGTTCAGAGACACTTTCATGTGGGTTCAACACTGCTTCAGTTTTGTTTGTGTTTAAAAATGAGATGGGGATTTCTGTAATTGTTTTCCTGTGCTCATACAAAAAATGTCCCCTAATTACTGTGCCCTGACAGTTGTATTCATGTCTGCTGCTGTTCCTGCTCACAGTAATCACCTTTAATGAAATGACAGAAGGCCATTTTATATGTGTTATAAACACTCCTTGTACTTGAAGAACTTTACTTAGGTTGCAGAACAGAGCGTGCAAGGGCAAGAACTGCGAGAGCAAAGGGTCTCTGCAGTTTACCTGAGAGAACGTGCTACAAATACTGAGACAACATTACTTTCATTTTGCTCAGGGAAAATTTCCTCTCTGAAATTTGCCGCACAAATTGTGTGTGCTTAGAAGGAAGCCGGGCAGTATTTTCTCAGCTCCAGACCATTTCTTTGCTCTCCCTCTTCATCTCCCCGCTGCCCGTTTCGGACTCCTCGCCTGCTGGGTCCCAGCCATCAGAAGCAAAACACTGTCGGACAAGCGCGTGCTTGTCCCGACAAGCCTCCTGAGGCCTATAAGTCCACAAGAGCTGGGAGGATTCGCCATGAGAGCAGTGCCAGATGTAGGCAGGGAGCGGCAGGAGCAGGGCGGCCGGGCACAGCCATGCCCACAGCACAGCTGGCGTGGGGACCAAAGCCCTGAGCTGAAGTGCAGCTCCACAGCCTAAGGGCTGAGGCGCCAGGCAAGGTTTCATACGGCTCCTTTTCTCATGGCAGTTTTTCACAATATTCTTTTTTTATTTTATTTTTGAACACACTATTTGCAAAGGAGTTACATTGCCACATCCCTCTCAGAACTGGAAAATCTGAGGCAAACACCATGTAAAACTTCAGCCTGACAGAGTGACGCTTGCCTAAATTATGACAAATTTCTAAAGACAGGAAGCATTAAGCAGCCCCAATAATGGACAAGGTGACCAGCCCTTGCCTGTAAGACAGGCTTATCTGTCCCAGTGTTTGACTTTATGACAAGAAGAAAGTCATGAAAACAAGCCAGGCATCAGATAAAATCTTACTGCACCGGGTGTAAGTTCTCTGGTAATGAAGCCACTTAGGTTGTATTCAGGCCTGAGGGACTTAAGAGCCTTTGTGTTGTAAGCACGAACAGTACACAGTCACTTAAGAATAAAGAAGATGATTGTCAAATCTCATTTGGAGTACAGACACGTGAACAATCAGGAGTTGTGAAATTAAATCCGTTATTGTAAAAGCAAACAATCAGAGCTTGATCCTGTTAGGTACTTACACTAATCAGAATTCAGCAAGCAGGCAAGTAGTTTTTTAGCATATTAGATGCCCTAATCACTTGAATAAAACCACTGCTTTAATCTAACTACAGGCTTAAATGCTTTACAGTACTGGTCTTAGAGTGTATAGCACTTTGCAAGTCAAGGCTACAGGCCCCTAATTTGCTTAATGAAAGTTGCCGATGTATAACAATCTAATTCCTAACTATACAATTACTTCACTAATACATTTGAAGATGGGGATAACCTTTACTTTGATGTTATATATAGATAGACCTATCTACATAGGTACAAAGATCTAGATAGACCTTTGAGGTATCGGCTGCATGGTTGAGTTAGGATCAGAGTGAAGGCAGTTTCTTTCCACCTTTTTCCAATCATTACAGCTAATGCCTATGAAACTTTAAAAAGTTGAATGAAATCAGCATTTTACCGGAATGATGAATTAGTAGTATGGTGATTATACATTGCCAGGCTTTAGGAGAAGGTGGTATACAAGGATGGCTCTCGGTTTTACAGTGATGTTACTGATTCCAGCTCCTGCCACTGAGGCAGGGAAAGGACAGATGCTCCAACTTCTTCAATATAATTCTTTTTAGATGTTTTTTGTATTACATTTTTATATTTGTATCATTATTTGGTTTTGCCATAAAATAGGAAAGTTTTCAGCTTACACCACTGTTGCTGCATTCTCCTCTTAATGCAAAGAACCTCCTACTTTTTATGCAAGCACATTTAATTTTCACTTAGTCTTGTTTCATGCTTTTCCTGAGTTATTTTAAAATAACTGGCAAACAACTATTGCAGAGTAGATAATTGTAAACAACAAACCACACTTAAGATTTTTTCTTTCTTTGTTGTTTGTTGTGTTTCAGGCAGAATGACAATGCTGCCAAGTTCTTCATTTGTTTGTTTTGCCTCTACAACTTGTAGGTATATGTAATGTTCCATGCCAGTACAATAACTCCCGAGAGAAAGTACGTGCATGTTTTTCTAAGCCTAAAAAGATTTTTTGTACTGTTTTGAAATCAATTTTTGAAGATCCATGATCATATAGTATAACTGGATTATAAAAGAAGACAGCAAATGCTGCTCCATAAGCAAATGAAAGTGGCTTCTTCTTCACATTGGCTATCCTACTTACATCATTCTGTTTCATTTGCTTAACAAGCACATTGTGTTTTTTGAAGGCACTGTTACATTTCAAAGCAGCTGGAGTATTTATTTGGCAGCATATATTCACATAAGCCTGAAGCACTCTATTGTCAAAATATAACAGATGAAGTAACATCAGGATGGTTTAACTCCTGCTGTATTTCTTCTAAATGCGATTGTTGCTCTGCTTTAGCCTGTGTGTTCCACTAGTTTTTCAGTAATACTGCTATCTTTTTTTACCTAGGATTCTCATATCAGACCTACAGAAAGCAATAGAAAACCAAACTGGACTGAGGTCACATCATAGGAATCGAAGGTCCCTCTCTGAGTATAACTATGAAGTGTATCACTCCCTGGAAGAAGTATGTGAAAATTCATATTGCTCATCTTATCTGCTACACTGTTGTTTTTAATAAGCCTAAGATTTCACCCTCTCCATAAGTTATGGTTGCCTGTTCATCTTCATAGCATCATAGAATCATTTCAGTTGGAAAAGACCTTTAAGATCATTGAGTTCAGAAGTGTTCTAAATGTTCCTTCTTCAAAAATAGGCATCTTCTTGAAAACACATATATTTTTTGTGTTTGTATCCAAGGCTTATCTTTACATGTAACTATCTTTGACAGCCTCTGAGTTTTGTTTTTAAAGTAGGTCTTTTGCTCTGATGGAATAAGAGAGATCAGTGAGTGACTAGTCTCATTGAGTCATTTAAGTAAACAATATGAGCAAATTTGCACAACAGTATTTGCACAAGAGGCCGAAAGACTTAAAAACACTTAGATACAAATTCATGTATAAGGGATACTATCCTGGATGATAACTGCGTAACTGATTTCTGTTGATTTCGGTGTGCTTCCATATACAGTTTCAGTCTGCACCAAAACAGAGTCACTAGGCTGAGCGTGGAGGGTGCTGCACCTCGATGAGATCTGGTGCCTGTGAAACAAATATTGGAGGTCAATCTGTTCACCGTTCCATGTCCTGGCAGGCAGACCCAGGGACCTTCTTCATTCCATTAATGTTTAGCAGGAACAGCAGATTAGCCCTATCCCCAGATATTCAATGAACAGCTAATGCATTCCTGTAATATCCAATAATAAAATGGAAAAAATCCCGTGTGACTGAAGGCTGCATCCAGCCTCTGGCAATAGTGCTGTGAGAGCCCAATGATAGTTCAAGTGTGAAAACAAAAACAAAACAACAAAAGACAACAAGAAAAACTACAGGAAAATCCAAAAACATACTGCTGACTGAGAGCTGAGATTAATAAATGTGTTACAGTTGCTTCCTATGAAATGCAAAGATTGAAGCAACCATTTTATTTCTGTATTTGCAGATCCAGGATTGGATGCATCATCTGAATAAAACTCATTCAGATCTTGTTCATATGTTCTCTGTTGGAAAATCCTACGAAGGGAGACCACTGTTTGTACTCAAGGTAAAGATTAAATAGTAATTAATCAGACTGAAGTCTGGAATCAGGGACAGACACTTTGTTACTTTGTTATAGCATGTACACCGGAGATGCAGGTTATCAGTGTTTCCTAAGGATGAGTTGCTGAGATCTAAGTATCTCTCTGAATGTCATCTTTAATTAACAAAAAATTAAAAACTGGAAAACTAGAAGCCAAATCCTGTTCACTTGGATTGGATATGCTTGGAGATAGATGGCAGGACAAGTTTAATTAGCAGGATTTGGATTTAAGGAAATTGGAAAGGTTTGTGTTTATAGACAGCCTGGACAGCAGTTATGGTGGAGAGGGACTCCAGAGGACTCTGGAGCCCTTCTCAGCACATGCCAGATACAGTTCCTCTTCAGCTACTGACAAAATTCCAGGGCTGCATGCTCTCAACTCACATTATTAGGACCACAAATTAAAGGGTGTCAGCAAGGTGCAAAAAAAAAATTTACTTTAAATGTACTTTCCTTTTCATCCACTGTTGTGGAGTTCTGAAAATTTGATTCTGCATCAGGCTATTCCTCTAGCATTGATTTTCCTCACCCTGCTCCATATGATATTTAAGGATACCATTCCTCATTAAAAAGGAACTTACTGATCTCACTTTTCCTGTAAATTTTTTTCCATAGATCAGCTTTATTATCTTGGTATACCTGCATATCATTATATCAGCCATACCTTTGAAAGCAATAAATTCATGTTCCTTTCTACAAGGAAATTCAAAATGGTTTAGTGTTTCTAATATTCTGTTATTTTTCTCATTATCGTGTCTCACTAATGTCATGAGATCTATTGGTATTTCTATGAATATTCACACTTCAAGTTAGGTAAAAGATCACGGCCCTACAAGAAAGCTGTCTGGATAGACTGTGGGATTCATGCAAGAGAGTGGATTGGCCCTGCCTTTTGCCAGTGGTTCGTGAAAGAAGTAAGTGTTTAATGATTTACAGTCATGCAGTTCCTTCAGTTCGATAAACATCGTGGTTTTGCTATAACTGATCTAACATTATTAATAAGAACAATAACTAGCTTCTATACCACTTTTTTTTTTTTTTTTTTTTTTTTTTTTTTTTTCAAAATTAATAAAGAAAACAAAAATCAGTTTTTTTTCCCCTTTTTTTTTTTTTTTTTTTTTTTTTTTTTTTTGTAGAACACTAAGTGCTTGATAAATGAAGCTGATAGCAACAGCCAGACACAGCTAGGCACAGGACAAAAATATGCCAGACACATATTGGCAGAGATACAAAGTAGGATTTTATTCCAAGATCTAAAAATGTGGAGATTGTAATTCGGGTAATTGTCCAGGTAAATCAGTGCCAGTGTGTACTGCTTCAATCAGTTCAGCAATATCTTTGGTTTAAGGACTGAGATTAAGAAAGACGTTTCTCTTTTGTGCAATTCCATAGGAATAGGAAACTAAAATCATAGACAGATTTCACCCAAAATTATGGATTTCATATTCTCTGAATATCAAGCAGTTTCCCCAATGTTTCTTTGATCCTATCTTAATGGATTTATGCTTCGTTTATCTTTGATATCTAGTGTCCAGCCTTCATATCCATCCATTTGCCATTTTTCAAAGGATCAGAGAAATCAATGCAGTTGGAATTTTGTTTTCCACTTGTGCAGTACATCATTTCTTGTATATCAACATTTAATCTTCTCTAATTGTGGATTCACCTCAGATGCATGATATGTTTGCAGGATTTTGACATTTCCCCTTGACCAACAAACTTTTGTTCAAGAAGGGATATTGACTGCACAGTGGAGACTATTTTGCAATGCAATTTACAGAAGTCAAAGAAGGCTTCAAAAAATATGAACAGATGTGCTTTGAGTATTTTGCATACCCTTTTTTTGCTTAGAATAAGTGATGCAAAATCTTTGTTTGCAAGCTTCTTCCTATAAATGCACAATTTTCTCACTTCTCTCCTACCCCATCACTGTGGAATTCTACAATGCGTTAATATTTCCTGTGATTTAAAGGATCTACCTCTGATCTTTTGGGATCTCACCACTCAGCAGAAAGATCCTGGCCCCATACGTCATTTCGCAAGGGCCCTATAAGTAATTTCATGAGAGTAAAACTCTACATCATCAACACCCTAATGAATTAGCTGAGACAATCATATAACCATGTGTAACTTCCCTCCGAAGTCACAGCAGCATATAGGGCAAGTACAGAAATAATGAGGCCACTACAGTTTGGGTGAGCCTGTCAGCATGGCTGCTGCTGCATGGATAGGCTAAACCAGATCCAGGAGCTGACCTCCAGAGTTCAGTGTGCAATGATGGCGTGTCTTCCTATTAGGACTGCAGTTAGTATAAAGATGAACAAACTTGCAACTATTTCTGAACAGCTTTCCCACCCAGGAGAGCAGGCTGCAGTAAGGAAGGAAGATGTTTGGGACAGACAGGCACTGGTGGGAAAGCCTAGGGCTCAAGTGTGTCTTCCTTACCGAGATTTTCCCGTAAAGCACTACAATGTGGCAGCAAGGTAAAAATCACAAGGTTTCTCTGTGGAGCTCATGGCAGAATATAGCCTGTGTATGTGTATATAAAAACCTTCTGGTTGTTATTTGAGATCCTTGGTGAGTAGCTTGCTATTTAGACTGTTTTGCTAATGACATAAAAGCATTTTCCTAAATTAAAGAAAGTTTCTGCAGAGTTCCTTGGGACTACAAGAATGTACCACCTTTGTCTGCCCATCTCAGTCGTGCATTGCCTTTGTTCACAAATGACCTATACTGTCTTCTTTCCTTAGAGCAATATTTCAATCCAGCATTAAAGCAAAAAGCATCAGGATAAGAATACATTATGCTCACAGTCTCCATCGTTTTATTAAAAATGACTGGGAGAGGATGAGAGACAAGAGGATTAAATTGTTTGGTTTATGATGTTGCCATTTTCATTAAATAAATTAGACATTTTTAGTAAGAACTCAGGGAAAACCAAAGGTCTCTCCATGCTTCAAACTCTGCAATTCTCTTTTGCTGGCAAGCTCCTCCCTTAAGCACCTCTGCAGCCCGGCAGCCCACTTTCCATCCTCCCTGGTGCCTATGGGCAGTTCTGAGAAAGGGCAGATAGCTTGGAAACAGATTTTTCCTGGCATGTTTGTTGACTCTAAGGAATAGCACCACAAGCCCATTGATTTAAGGCAAGCAAAAGGAAATGTTGGATTTATGTGATGTTAGCTTCTTTTCCAGCAGGAACAGCATACACGCATCCCTTTGCTGTGCAGCCAGCCTGAAATATTTTATTGAGCTTTCACTTCACCCTGTGATCTGTGTCACTTGTTTTTATTGAAGTATCCATACTCTGGTGTACAACTAGGCTTTTCAAGTAATTTAGCTCAGAAAACAACCTCTACGTATGAATGTCACTTAAAATTCAAGCTCAAGACTGGGTGCTGCAAACTTGACCAGATATTCCCATCCAGCTTGGGAACCCTCGGTATCTTGCTTGCACCTCTGGAAGTGGCAGCTTCTGAGTGCCGGTGAATTTGCTGCAAGCAGTGGGAGACGCTGCTTCTCGTAGGGTAGAGGTGCCACTGAGCAACTGGCTGGTAGTGTGGCTTGCCAGGGTATGGGCAGTGGCTCCTCACGTTCTACAAAGCATCAGGGGTTGTTCAGCTGAGCAGGACCTGGCTCCCATCTATCTAGAAATACGAAGATGACTAAGGCAGATCACAGAACCACAGAAGGGTAGGGGTTGGAAAGGACCTCTGGAGATCATCTAGTCCAACCCCCCCTGCTAAAGCAGGATCACCTAGAGTAGGTTGCACAGGATCATGTCCAGATGGGTTTTGAATGTCTCCAGAGGAGGAGACTCCACCACCTCTCTGGGCAGCCTGTGCCAGTGCTCTGTCACCCTCAAAGTGAAGAAGTTTTTCCTCATATTGAGATGGAACTTCCTGTATTCCAGTTTGTGCCCATTGCCCCTTGTCCTGTCACTGTGCATCCACGCTTTAGATGTTTATAAGCATTGATGAGATCCCCTCTCAGTCTTCTCTTCTCCAGGCTAAATAGACCCAGCTCTCTCAGCCTTTCCCCATACAAGAGATGCTCCAGTCCCCTCATCATCTTTGTAGCCCTCCACTGGACTCTTTCCAGTAGGGGGGAGCCAAAAACTGGACACAATATTCCAGATGTGGCCTCACCAGGGCAGAGTAGAGGAGGAGGAGGATAACCTCCCTCGACATGCTGGCCATGCTCTTCTCAGTGCACCCCAGGATACCATTGGCCTTCTTGGCCATGAGGGCACATTGCTGGGTGATCGAGAGCTTGTTGTCCACCAGGACTCCAAGGTCCTTCTCTGCAGAGCTGCTTCCCAGCAGGTCAACCCCTGACCTGTACTGGTGCTTAGGTTTATTCCTCCCTAGGTGCAGGTCCCTACACTTGCCCCTGTTGAATTTCATTAGGTTCCTCTCTGCCCAACTCTCTAGCCTGTCCACATCTCACTGAATGACAGTGCAGCCTTCTGGTATGTCGGCCACTCCTCCCAGTTTTGTATCGTCAGTGAATTTGCTGAGGGTACACTCTGTCCCCTCGTCCAGGTCATTGATGAATAAGTTGAATAAGATCGGACCCAGTACTGACCCCTGGGGCACACCACTCGATACAGGCCTCCAGCTAGACTCTGTGCTGCTCATCACAACCAGATCAGACTTGGGAAATGAGGATGTAAGGCTAGAGCGTGGAAGGCAAGAGGCTGCCTGCTACACAGGCTTGTTCTGTATTTGGGCAAATACAATAGTCAGAGAAAAAGAACAGATGAACTAGAGAAAAAGGGAGAAAGATATAGGAGTAGAAGTTAAAAGTTAAAAGTGGAAAGAGAATGCACAGGAAAGAGTTTTGCATTATGTGATCATATAATTGAAAGTTCAAAACCAGCCTACTCACATTTTGAAACAAACAAAAGGAGAGCAAAGACTATTGTTTGGTTTGGGGGGGGGTTAGGTTTTTTGTTTCATTTTTTGGTGTGGTTTTTTATTATAATCTACTCCAGGATGAGCTCTAGCCTTGGCTCTGTATTCCATAGGTCTGGTGTTAATAATGACGTCACTGTTTGTTTCTGTAGAAGGCGCCCCTGAGTGCCTGTAGTCTCTCAGCTAAAGATAATCAGATGTTCTACCAGGGTCAGTAATACTGGTGGCCTCTGACAAACCCTACCTCATGGTCATTGAATTTCAAGTCAAGAAAGGGGATGCCCTGTGCACACAGGATCAGAGCTTTAGGTACCAGCTAAAGAGCCACAGAGAAGTGTCTGCCCTGGCTCGTAGCAGAACACCAATTAGGTTGCAGTGGAGTCCCACCCAACTTCAAGCCTTACTCAGCTGGAAAGGGGTGGAAAAAAGGCCCTGACAGTGGAAATACTGAGACCTGCGGTGGAGCAGGGAAGCAAGAGGAACTGTAAAAGAAAACAGAACTGATTATGTGTGGACTACTTTGAAGGCAACCTGCAGAGATAAATTAACCTAATGTAACCCAGAATTTGTGTCCACAGCAAAAGATTTAGGGGGAAAAAAACCACAAACAAACAAGAAAGGTTTGTTAGCCTACATTTTTTAAAAGACTGCATGGGATCTAATCATACATTAAAATCTGTTAGTAAATATTACAAACTGGAAAGAACTCTATTATGTGTTATTACTTTGTAGAAAGCCGTAGACTCTAGAAACAAAAAATGTTTATTATACATAACATGTATTTATCCAAAATTAAATAGTCCTCATAGAAACAAAGAAGGAAAACCTATAGACTTTTTGCAAAAGTAAAATTATATATGTATATGTGTTAAATAAGAACATTTAACTCCTCTTCATTGGGTGTGCAATTGTAAGAGGAGAAGCAGAATTCAGATATCAAATTATCTAGACCTCAAATTTAGGATTTTACCATTGTTTTAAAAATCTGAAATATGGTTCAC